GAAAACTGAGTTCTTTTGTGGCCATGTGCTCCAGGTTAACCTTAATTGCTGATACTAGAAATGAGCCCAAAGAGACGGTGGGAGGGGCTGGGGGAGCTTGGTCCGCAGGTAAAATCACAGTCAGATAAGAAAGTCCCGGTGCTCCATTACACAAAGTGTGACTGTAATTAACAATATTGCATCATCAAAACTAGAAGACAGAATTAGGAATGTTTTCAGCACAACGGAATGAGAAATGTCTGAGACGATGACGATGACGGCAGGTTGCCTCCTGGATTGATCAATACGCGGTGGGTGAGTGTACCACAACGTCACACTCCACTCCGTAAACCCGAACATTTTCTGTCAAATGGCACTCCGTCATCTCATGGCTGTGATTTTCAAGTTTTCACAGTGAACAGTGAGTGTAAGATGTTCATGTTTAGAGATGTAGTAAGAATCATTTAATGAGACCATGACTCAACCGTTACTCAAACAGAAGTTGACTTAATTAGTCAAAAGATAAACAAGAGGGGTCATCAGTTCCCAGCCAGGTATATAAAGGGACCCGACCCAGAAGAGACATCACACCTGAGAACACCCACCCGCTCTCCACTTCTCAGCCCCACTCCAGCCCAGACACCCACCATGACCGGCTCCTGCTGTGGATCCTTCTCCTCCCAGAGCTGTGGAGGCTGCTGCCAGCCCTGCTGCTGCAGAGACCCCTGCTGCTGCCGCCCAGTGTCCTGCCAGACCACAGTGTGCCGCCCTGTGACCTGCGTGCCCCACTGCACCAGGCCCATCTGCGAGCCCTGCCGCCGCCCCATCTGCTGTGACCCCTGCAGCCTGCAGCAGGGCTGCTGTCGCCCCATCACCTGCTGCCCCACCTCTTGCACAGCTGTGGTCTGCAGACCCTGCTGCTGGGCCTCCACCTGCTGCCAGCCCATCTCTGTGCAGGCTCCCTGCTGCAGGCCCCCCTGCTGCCAGCCTGCCCCCTGCCGCACCACCTGTAGGACCTCCCCCTGCAACACCTGCTGCTGAGCAGTGAGCTGAGCACCTGGGGCAAGCTGCCGCCCTTTGGAAAATAGTCGTGTTCCTATTTCTCTCTCTCTCTAACCTCTTGCCCTGAGCCACCGATGCCTTAAATCAACCAGCTTGTGAATGGAGGCCCGGAGCCTTCCATTAAGGCTTGTGCACCTCTTTTTAGCAGGCTTTGTCCTTCTCTCCTTCTTGGGTCTAAGGTCTTTTTGAAGATGTTTATTTTTTTTAATAAATTTCTCTTCTTTGGCCTCACAAAACATTGCTTTGCTCTTACTTACTTGTGCCTTTTACATTATTTTAATTTATTCTTTGAGAATTTTCTACAGATGTACAACTTACGTTGATCACATCTATCTCCCACACTCCCCTCTTCAATTCCAGACCAGCCTCCCCTCCCCACAACCATGAGCCTCTTACAGCTTCACGCCTGTTTTTTGGTAACCCACTGAGTCCCATTAGTGCTGCATTTATTTGCATGGGTACAGGGCCATCCGCTGGAGCATGGCCAACCTATCAGAGGAGGGGAGTGCATCCTCTTCACGTTTTTTTTAAAAATTAGGTCTCAAAGAAATTTTGGTTGCTTACCACAAACTGCATAGACCATGAGAAACATTCAGCTGAGGTTTTTAAAAGCTTCCCCCTCAAAAATCTCACAAGTCCCCACACCTAAGTGAAAAATTATAGGCAATTAATGACTACTACTAAAAGAGAGAGGAAACGATCCTCCCCATGGACAAGCCCCCTATTGGTTATTCAATACCAAGTGGTCATCTCTAAAACATATACACATGAGCAACACATGAAGTTGTGTTTATGTATTTGTGTGTGTATACATGTAATAATCATAAAGAAAAAGAAAAATTAAAGTATGTCCTTTTGTTTTTTACTATTATTATTTCATGTGTTTGGATGTTTTGCCTGTGTGTATGTCTATTTGTCGTGTGTGTGTGTGTGTGTGTGTGTGTGTGTGTGTGTGTGTGTGTGCACCTGGTGTTTCAGAGGTCAAAAGAGGGTATGGGATTCCTTGGAACTGGAGTTATAGGTGGTGATGAGCTGCCCTGTCAGTGTTGAGAATTGAACCCAGATCCTCTGGAAGAGCAACCAGTGCTCCTAACCACTGAGCCATCTCTCCAGCTTAATTTTTTTCTTTCATTAAAAGCCTCTGGGGAGATGAGTCATATCTACCTTGACCCAATTAAATAGAATATGAGAAATGAGATGTATATATCATATAGTATCCACAAAGACATTAGTATTGTTTAGAAAGAAAGTTTGAAAAATGTTAGTATCTTCTATGAGTTAAGTTTTGTTGCTGTTCCAGATTAGAAGGAGAGCAGCTTTCTCATCAGTGGAAACAGTCTAGACAAAGGTATGGAGGGAAGTGCCTCAAGGATCATCCATACATTTTGTCTAGAGCACTGGATACACGAGGAGCCGCCATGGAAGGACTGTTTAGAGACTTACCATATTTTGCCTGTCAGCCAATGGAGTTTGTGAGTAAGCACTAAGGAGCTGTTTCAAGCCTTGGGTCCATACATGGCAGGACAGAAGCTGGTACTGGGATGATCTGTGGGAGCTTTTAACGACGATGAGAAGAAGGCTCAGTCAGAAAAAGTGCCATGCAAGAGCAAGAACAAGAGTTCAACTCCTAAGCACCCGTGGAAAAAGTCAGACATGGTAGTACAGGCTTGCAGTCCCAGTACCAGGGAGAGACACAGCCTAATCAGCGAGCCCCAGGTCCCCAGGAGGGACTCTGTCTCAAAAAAAATAACATGGACAGCTCCTGAGGGTAACACCCAAGGTTGAGTTCTGGCTTCCCTATTCATGCACAAACACAAAAACCTGAACATGTATGTTCACACATACACAGAGAGGGAGGGAGGGAGGGAGGGAGGGAGGGAGAGAGAGAGAGAGAGAGAGAGAGAGAGAGAGAGAGAGAGGGAATGAAGGTGACACACACAGAAAACCAGAAGGTACATTAAATTTAAAGTGGGAGACAAGAAACAACTAGAAAGCAAATGTGACTTATTTCAACTCTGGGCTAAAAATGCTTAAAATGGTTTTAACATATTTATGCTTCTTTGCTTTGTGTTTCAGATTCTTATTCTGTAGTATAGCCTACCCAACACCTCATGTTTATATTCTTGAAGTATTTAAAGTAAAGGCACCACACAACGAGTTTTACTGATACACACTGAACCTGGAAAGCAGCATGTCATAAAATATAAAGATCTGGTCTAGGAAGGGGGAGGGGACCATCACACCCATCTCTTCTCTCTGTGTGTACAAATGCTCATTTAACGTCTACGAATTTCTCTGTTCCCAGATCACGGTGTTCTTTCAACAGTTGATGCTGAGGTAAAATGAAAACTCATGCCTACCACAACACCAATGTTCTGGTCTAGGACTTTGAGAATGAATGGCTCTGTTTCTTAACTCATTCCTTTAATTCATCAATCCTATTGATACCCCACAGCTTTGTGCACCAGAGCAAAATATGAGGCAGATAATTATTCTCTTTCTTTGTAACCCTTCAGTGTTCTGTGACTAGTAGAACTGAACAAGCTTGTGACACTCACATTGAAAACAGTATTGGTTTCTACACCTAAAATGTCAAGTGGTCAAAAAATGGGTTATTGTTTTTTCGTTCCATTATTCAATGATTACATGTAACTATTTTCAACTTCATGCCTATCACCATGGTTACCAGAGAGCATACATCTTTACTGAAACTAGCATGAACAATATTCCAACATAAACTTACCACTGTCCAAAACAGTATCCCCATCTCATAAAAGCCAACTTTGTGCTTGAATTTATATGCATAGGATTAACAAGCCCATCACTGAAGCAAAAATGACTCTTGGTCACTACACATTTTTCATGTCCCCTCATGTAACCCTAAACATACAGCAGAAAAATCACGTTGTTTTTGTCGACTACCAGAAATGATTTTTACTTTTCATTTGCTAAGATTTATCCTAAAATTTTGCTTTTGTACCTACTAACACATATTAATAACCCATTTTTAATCCCTCTTACAAACATTATGAACCAGAGAGACAGTATTTCCTGATTCTTTTCATCTCCTTGACTCTTCTTTGTAAATTATGCTGCTGTCCCATTTGGTTCAATACCCTTTTTGCAGGGCATATGGTGTAATAACATAAAATGACATAAATTGAAAGCCTTTGGGGAACACTGTCCAAATGATCCACAAACATCAATTTTAAACTATCATAAGGAAGCATAAGTTTCTCTTGACTGCTTTGTGGGTGCTTTTCCCCACTCACTGATTACAAATTTTAGCCTCTTCTTTAAATTAAATTGGAGTGCAGCAAGTTTTGTTCCATATATTCTCCTGAGTGACAAATGAGTCCTCAAATATTAATGTCTTAAGTTTAGAAGAGCTCACAGAAATCATACAAAAAATATCTGGAGATATCTGTGAATTCCTTTTAATGTGTAACTTATCTTTCTATGTGTAACTTTCTACACAATGATGTAGAAACAGTGATCTTAGCAATAAAATAAAAACAGAACCATAAAGATAGTCTTCTTGAAGGACAACCCAGGATCAATGGTCCTTTTCTGTATATTTGAGATTTGGCGAGTGTGTCCCTGTCGTTATAATTACAGGTGAGAGTCACCTTGTCAGGTGCCCATGACCACAAACACAAAACTGAGGCCAAGACTCAAGTGGAAATCACGACTCTGTTTGGACATAAAGCATTTAACGTGTCTACCTCAGATGAACATATATGATGAGCATTAGCTGAGCAACAAGGAAACACCCAATTTAAAATATGTTTAAAGTAACTCAGGGGCCCCAGAAAATCTGGTTTTAAGAGTAACAAGATAAAAATGCTCCCTGTCACAGAGCGACTGCCCAAGCCTTATAAAAGGCCCCAGCTGGAATAAGCAGCCAAAAGCCAGACACTCATCTCAACTTCACAGCTCTCCAACCGACTCCCGACACCATGGCCTGCTGTGCTACTAGCTTCTGTGGCTTTCCCACATGCTCCACTGGTGGCACCTGTGGCTCCAGCTGCTGCCAGCCCAGCTGCTGCCAGCCCAGCTGTTGCCAGCCCAGCTGCTCCCAGTCCAGCTGTTGCCAGCCCACATGCTGTCAGACCAGCTGCTGTGGAACTGGCAGTGGCCAGGAGGGTGGCAGTGGAGGCGTGAGCTGCCGCGTTAGATGGTGCCGCCCAGACTGCCGCGTGGAAGGCACCTGCCTGCCTCCCTGCTGTGTGGTGAGCAGCACACCCCCAACCTGCTGCCAGCTGCACCATGCCCAGGCCTCCTGCTGCCGCCCCTCCTACTGTGGACAGTCCTGCTGCCGCCCAGCCTGCTGCTGCTACTGCTGCCCGCCCAGCTGCTCTGAGCCCAGCTGTTGAAAATCTTCTGACAAGAATCCTGAGAGGATGACACTTCAAAATGAACCAGCCTATAACCCTAGAAACCTAATTTAGTCTTGATAACTCAGCTACTGTCCCAGCTACAGAATTTCCCAGGAGGTAAATTCATTTGCCGTGAAGGAGCCAGCGTCTTTGCTGGCTTAAACACCGACAAAAGCCCTACAATGTGGAGAGGGGCATGTAATACATTACCAGAAGTATCACCAGAAGTATTACAATAGCTTATTGGGACTTGTATTTAATAAAAAGTATTTGATCTCTTCAATGATAAGAAGTTATTGTCACTGCTTTCTTTCCTTTGGGATTTGTTAATAATAGCGGGGATTGGAATTTTTCAAAGTCTCAACATGGCACTACAGTATTTTTTTTGTTTAACTATCCTTGTTCTTTCAATAACTCTTTTTCTTTGTTTCCTGCTAAATGACCCATTATTTCTGCAACCAAAATACATCACTAAAAAACACAACAACCATGAGGACCCTTACCTGAACGAAGTGGTCCTGGTGTTCCAAAAGGTCCATTTTACAAATAGGAAGTCTGTGTAATTTGGGTGTCTGAGGCATTGCCAAGCACATCCAGTCACTCACGTGTGACTCTACAGATGATGCTTTCAAACATCAAAGGGATACTAAGGTGTAATGCAAAATGAAAGACCATAAACTCAAGACGACAAAATAACAGCACTAGATGTTTCTAGCCACAGCTTGTAAGCCGTGACCCATGACTACTGAGCAAGTCACTTCACTCGCCTGAGCATCTATTTCTCATCTGAAAACTGGGTGATATCCCTTTCAGGGAGAGATGTGTTGATCATCTCATGAACAGATGACATGCTGGCCTTATCCTCAGACATCAGAAGAGGAAAAGTACCCAATGATCCAATAATATTATACGCTTTATTGTTGTTGGTTAGTTTATAATGTCACCCTCACACACTCTAGAGTCACCTGAGAAGAGGGACCCTCAAATGAAGAAAAGCCTTGATCAGATTGGCCTGTGGGTATGCCTGTAAGGAATTCTCTTGATTGCTAATTGATGTAGGAGGCTTCAGCCCACTGAGGGCACTGCCATCCCTAGGCAGGTGGCCTGGCCTGTGTAAGAGTGCAAGCTGAACCAGGCTGCAGTCCCACCAAAAATGTATGAAGGTTCCCTTTCCCTTCGTCCTCACCAGTGCTTGTCAGTTATTTTCTTGATCTTAGCTATTCTGAGTAGGGCGAGATGAAAATATCAAAGTAGTTTTAATTTGCATTTCCCTAATTGCTACAGACGTTGAATACTTTTAAAGATATTTTTTAGCCAAATTAAATTCTACTTTTGAGAGCTCTCTGTTCAGATCTATAGCCCATTTTTTTAAATTGGGTTATTTGCTTTCTTAGTTCTTTGTATATTCTGGGTATTAATTCTAGATAGGGAAAAGTTCTCAATATTTTGCCCGTAGATGAAGAGTATAAGCAATCAATGGCTCCAAAGAGAAAGAGAGAAATAATTTTCTTTGGGAACAATTCCCTTTTACCTTATATGTCATCCAATCCCAAGTGATCAGCCCTACACACAAGCACATACCAGCAGCACTAAAGAGACTCAACTCAGTAAGAGATACATTATTTTTAAGAAAAGAGGTTATGAATTTGAGGGGGTGGGGCATGAGAGGAGTTGGAGGAGAGAGGAGGAGGAGATATGATGTTAACACAATACTCCAATATTCATTTATGAAATTTTCAAACACTAAAAAGAATTAGATAAAAATAACCCAGAACCAAAAGAAAATAAAGCAAGCTAAGCATAAGCTGAGAGTGAGCCAAGAGGTGACTTGGTTTGTTCCTCCATGATTTCTGCCTCAGTTCCTGTCCTGACTTCCCTGAGGGATGGACTGTGACTTGAAAGTATAAACAGAAATAAACACTTTCCTTCCTCCAGTTGCTTTTGGTCAGAGTGTTTTTATTGTAGTAGCAGCAAATCAAACCCAGACAACTGTCATTTTGAAGATTTTATAAGCTGCCTTGGAACATTAAGGCATAATGACCTCAGTAAGACCGTCTCGATCCATCATGCCCAAACTGATGAAGCCAGGATGTTTGCTGTTGTTATCTCACCTGTTAGTGTCTTGTAACTAGTGATCCTCGATATGTACTTTGGAAAATGATGAAAGAAAGTATCAGTCTACTAACCTGTATTTTTGTACCTATACAATCCTCTCAAGTGCTGCGAGGCAGAACACAGAGCACAATGTTGGTCACATCTTATCACCATTCTTACTCTAATCTCCAAAAGGTGTTTCTAAAGTAAAACAAGTCCAAAACAAAAGCTACACAATGGAGCTTCCATTCCATGGGATAAAATCTTTGGTCATAGAATCAGTGTGGTGAGCTACAGGTCATGACTAGCAGCGTTTAGCAAGTGATTGTCTGAAGGTTATAGGGTATTCTTCAGGGGTGATTAAAGAGATTGGACATCAGAGGTCTAAAATGTGCCATGAGGTTGAGAAGATGGCACAGTGGGTAAGGGTGTTTGCTGTGAAAGGAAGAGGACCTGAGTTCAAATCCCCAGTGCCCATATGAAAAGCCAGGCATGGCCGTGCGTGCTGGTATTGCCAGCACTGGGGAAGTTGAGACAGGCAGACCCCAGGAACACTCTGGCCATCTAGCTAGTCAACACACAGAGAGCTTCAGATTCACTGAGAGATCTTGTCTCAACAACAAAACGGAGGCGCCAGCAAAGGTGGCTTGGTGTCACAAAAGTCTGACCACCCAAGTTGTATCCCCAGAATCCATGTGAAGATGGAAGAAAAGAACAGATGCCACAAAGTTGTTCTCTTACTTCAACATGCACCCCATGGCCTGTGCACACCTGCACACGCACCGATGATGATGATGATGATGATGATGATGATGATGATGATGAGAGCAATAGAGGAAGATTGCTCATATCCTCCCCTGGCCTTCTCCATGTCCACACACTGAGGAGTGTGCACTCACACGCTCCTGTGCACATGAACCACAAGACACACACATACACAAAATGCACTAAATACCCCTTTACTATACACTTTAAAATGGTTCTTTCATGATATATGAGTTTTACATCAATTTGTAAAATGTAAAGGAGGCCTCCCCTAGTACAACTTCATAACAATTAGAAAAACACCACCTTGAAGTCAGCATATACCCAGGGGACACAGCTCATCAGACATACAGTACATTGGCATGAAGAATGGTACACACTTGCTTCTGTGTGAACACAGCCCCACATCCAGGCACAACCTATACACCTGTGCTTAATGGGCTTACAACACGGTCAATATCCAAAATCCACATCCTAAAATATAGGTCTCCTGTCTCCAACTGGAGAGTTAAAAGTTGAGGCATCTTTTACTTAGAAGGACTTCAACTCAGAAGCATCCAAAGGACATAGGTTGATATTTAGAAAACTCAAGAAGGACCTTCTTACTTGGTTAAGGCTAGAAAGTTGGGGATGAGAGGAAGTCTTTGAGGCTTGTTTGCTGCCTGGTTGAGGTCCCTGGATAAACTATAAAGCACAAAAGCATGGATGCCCTGGGCAGGAATGGTGCATTCACTTGGCTGGTGTATCAACCACCACACTTTATCCTTCAGAACTGTAAGAGAGAATTAGATCAGACTGGTTCAGAGCATCAGTGAAGTGAGGGTGAAGAAAGTTGGGGAACCCCCCAGAACCAGGACCATGCTGTCTTACACAGAAACCACTCAAACATCAGTACCACTCTTAAGCAGAGAGAGGGTCAAGTATTCAAAAATAAAAGTCCAAAAGTCCCTTGTTCTTACCATACAGGAGTGGTCTGGGCCCTCCAAAATGAAGTCGTGAAAATATAAGAGAATAAGCAGGATGATTTTTATAACATCAATGTCCAGACACCCGCATTTCCAGTAAGACACAGACGCAAGTTCCCGGTATTTAACAAGGATAGAAAAATCTACAAAGAGAAACATCATGAATATTTTTATCTGTTTTGATTTCCATGGAAATCAATACAGAAGAAATAGACTCAAGTGGGGGGCAGGGGGCGGAGTCTGGCTATAATCCGTGTTCTTGATTTAATTGAGGTTAGTAAGGGGATGTTCAGATTCATCTTCACTTTATGGCAGAGAAGTAGAACTCTCAAACTTTAAGTGACATTTGTGTAACTGCTTTATTAGATGTATCATGTGTGCACCCACGTGCACAGAGGTGCAGTAGGAGGAGTTAGTTCCTCCTCCCACCGCATGGTTCCCAGGGATCAAACTCAGGTCATCAGGCTTGGTGAGCTGTTCTTTTATCTGCTGAGCCAGCTTGCTGGCCCTTGAGCACTGTGTTTCATTGTAAGTAATTACCTAAGTCCGTAATCATGAAAGTTGACTTAAATCTTGTACTGAGGGAGCTCTTGAAAACAGTGCCAAGGTAGAAAAGGCAGGAACAATAATGCCATGCATAATGCCATTATCTCCAGGGCCTTTTATCAACAATGTACCGCAATGTCTCAAATACCCGAGATCGGTATCTTTAGCACCAAGCATCCTGCTGAATTTGAATTTCAACATGAATTAAACAGCCCCTGAGATCATTATCAGGACACCTGCACGTTCCAAGCACCTAAGGTGAAACATTAGCTAACCGAAGAAGCTGGGGAGACTGCTCAGTGAGGAAAGTGCTTGCCACAGAGTGTGAGGGCTTGAGTTTGACTCCCCAGGATCCACATAAACCCAGAGGGATCTGTAATCTCAGAATGTCTATGGAGAGATGGGAACTGGAGACAAGAGGATCCCCCAGCTTGGCCCATGCTGTAGAAAACGAGAGAGCCTGTTTCAAACAAGGTGAAAGGCAAGGACCCACACCTGGGGTTGGCTTCTGACCTCCACAGGAGCTCCATGGCACATGCATGCATTCACTCACATACACGAATGTGTACACACACACACAAATGGAAAAAGAAAACTAAATTTTATCCTCAGTCAGATGATAGAAGC